GCAAATCCTCACAAACTCCAACCTCCCCGCCGTCCAATCCGCCGACATCATCCTCCTGGCCTGCAAACCCTACATGGTCAACGAACTCCTCTCCGAACCCTCCCTCGCCCCCTCCCTCAGTGGTAAACTCCTCATCTCCATCCTCGCCGGCGTAACCGAAACCCAGCTCTCCCAAACCCTCACCACCGCCAACGGCGGCCAGCCCGTAAACTGCCAAATCGTCCGCGCAATGCCAAACACTGCCTCCCTCATCAGGGAAAGCATGACCGTCATCGGAATCAGCAACCCCCCTCTTGACCCCGAGACGATGGGGACGGTTACCTGGATTTTCAAGCGGATTGGCGAGGTGGTCTACCTTCCTCCGTCAAACATGGATGTTTGCACTTCGCTGTGTGGGTCAGGGCCGGCTTTTTTCGCGTTGATGCTTGAGGCTGCTATTGATGGGGCTGTTGCGATGGGTTTGCCGAGGGCGGAGGCGCAGAGGATGGCTGCGCAGACTATGAAGGGGGCTGCGGGGTTGGTGCTGAATGGGGATCACCCTGCGTTGTTGAGGGATAAGGTTAGCACGCCGGGGGGGTGCACCATTGGGGGGTTGTTGGTTCTGGAGGAGGGGAGGGTGAGGGGGACGGTTGCTAGGGCTGTGAGGGAGGCGACGGTGGTGGCTAGTCAGTTGGGGCAGGGGGTGCAGGGGGTTAATGGGACGCGGTTTCCTGGTAATAACTTCCAGTAGGGTAGGGAGTGAGGAAAAGTCTCATGAGGGTGGTGAAGATAAGGGGGTTTGGGTGAGTTGGGACGTGGTATCCTCCTGATTACTTCCAGCAGGATGGTGGGAATGGGGGAACCGGTGTGAACTGTCAGCAGTCTCGGTGGGGGGAGTGATGTGGTGAATCATGGGACTTGAACGGCGAATTCTTCAAATAACCGCCTGCCAGATTGGAAGATGAGAGAAGGAGAGTATGGCATGAGGCCGTCTGACAGCGACTATTCCCAGCAGGATGGGAGAATGAGAGGAAGACAGCTTGAGATGAGGTCGTCTGGGAGCTACAATTCTCAAAAAGACGGGGCGTCAGTAAATGGGAGGGCGGCATCAGATGGGGTATCATTCTCTCCAAAAAGATGGGAATCAGTGGGTAGAGGGGTGGAGGTCAATCTTGGGGCTGCTCGTGGAAGGGGGTTCGGTTTGTGCGAGGTTCTCGCCGAGGCAGTGAGGGGGGCGTATAGATCTCTCACAGATTCATTAGACTTTCGAGCATTGTTTGAAAGAATACCTACTTGGGTAGAAAAGGATGATCTTGATTAGGCTGTTTACCTCTTTCAAAGGGGGGGGGAGATTTGCCATGGCAGGTGTATACATCAAAGACACTATGCCCGACTTAGATCATGGCTCTAGAATTGGTTTTCTTTTTTCAATTGGTTTTCTTTTTTTAATTTTTTTTATAGAATTTTGATGTTCCAGAGCATCAGGCAAATGCAGTTCACGATGGCATCATGTATTGGTCATGCAATTAACAGTTTTCACGAAACAGAGCCAAAGGCAAACTGTCTATATACCCCCTTCTCGGAGCAAGCCATCCAGCCCAACCCCATCCCAAGCCCAACGCCATTTGTGATATGATGCTGTGTCAATCTTGTTGATCCAAAAAAAATACAATCTAATACACCCTTTGCCCTGCTCGCTAAACGTCTCAAAACGCCAAAAGCCACTGCTACGACAACGCAAAGCCGCAATGGACACGCCCCTTATCTCGCCCCCTTAATCTTCTCCTTCTCCCTCTGAATCTTCTTGAAGAACGAATTCTGCCCCCCAGCATCTGCCTTCTTCCCCGCCCCCTTGCCCTTCAACCCCTTATTCGCAGCCTTGTTCTGCTCAATATACGCCATATCCTGCCCACCCGACAGCTCCCCAAGCGTACCCGCCGTCCTCCTAACCCCATTCCCAGCCTTCCTTCCCCTGGCACCCCCAGCACCTCTCCTGCCAGAGGGCTTCCCAAACAAATCATCAGTCTCGGCGTCTTGCTCAAAGCCCTTCTCATTGTCGACCAACGTTCGTTGAAGAAGCTCCCGGCGTTCCTGAGGCGTGGCAAAGGCAAGATCGGGCGTGTCGTTGATGTTGGCTAACTGAGTGATAACCTTGAAGGCGTACCCCTGATCAACGAGGAAGGCCTGGCGCTTGGAGGAGTAGTACATCTCTTGGGTGTCTTTCGATACCAGAGAGTAGAAAAAGGCGTTGAAGCCTTCATCGTTACGGCGCTTGGCTCGTAGGATACGGCCGAGACGCTGGGCCTCTTGCCTACGGGAGCCGAAATGAGAGGAAATCTGGATGAGACAGGTTGCTTCGGGCAGATCGAGGGAGGTGTCGCCAATCTTGGACAAGAAGAGAGTGTTGACATCGGGATTGTGCTGAAAGTTTTCGAGGACTTGCATGCGCTCCGCCTGGCCGGTGCCGCCGTAGATGAAGACCTTTTTGAGTTTGAGAGCATACTGTTTGAGAGAGTAAAGCTCATCAGAGAAGACGATGATCTTGTCGCCGCGCGCTTCGTGATAGTTGATCAGGTACTGGCAAGCTTGGAATTTCCTCGGGTTCATGGCGTAGAGGGTGCGCTTCATGTGGGAGTTGGCGCGGAGATACTCGTCGTAGAATTCCGGGGGCATGGAACACCACACTTCTGCGCACTGGACCTTGGCGATGTGGCCTTGTTGAGATAATTCCATCCAGTTGGCCTCATAGAGCTTGGGGCCGATGAGGAAGTTGAGATGGGAGATCTTGTCATCCTCACGGAGGAGGGTGGCGGTGAGACCAAGCTTAGAGTGCGACTTGATAGACGAGATGACGCGGCGGAAGACATCGGCGGGGACGACGTGGACTTCGTCGAGGAGCATCAGACCCCATTCTCGCCCTCTGAGGAAATCCATCATCTTCTTGCTGTCGTGAGACCGTTCTCTGGAGTTGGTCACCATGGAGTATGTGGTGACAATGATGCCAGTACTCCCCGAGAACTTGTTCTTGCTGTCGGCTGTGAAGACAGCGATGTCCTCTGGGTTGATGTTGGACCACTTGAGGAACTCCTGGCGCCACTGGACGACTGACATAGAACTCGTGCAGAGGACAATAACTCCCTTCCTGATGGTACAAGCAGCCGTGATACCCACCAACGTTTTGCCCGCTCCGCAAGGCAAGACAATGATACCGCTCTTGGCTCTGCCGTTGCCAAACATCTTGCTGAGACTCTTCTCCTGGTACGGCCGGATCAGAGTGTTGGGCCGGAGGTCAATCTCGAGGTTAGGGTTCACATTGTCGTTTCGGAAGTCGTACTCTTCGAGGATTGGGAAGCCGATCTCCAGGCACTGTTTCTGCACCGTTTCGACCGAGGCATCCGAGATCTCAAAAGAGTGAACGGCTTCCTTCTCGTCATCATCATCTTCTTCATTCAAGGCAGCAAAGACATCGGCCTCGGCGCCTGCCTGCCCTTGCTCGCCATTTTGATTATTCCCCTGCTTCAGATCGGCCTGGTGGACGCCGGCAGCGTTCTTGGTGCCGGGAATGACCAAGCCGGCCATGGTGGGCGCATAGCTGGTGCTGATGTCAGTAGTCCCAGAGATGCGGGCTGCACGAATTTGTGGATCAGCCAACAGCTTCTGAAGCAGTTGTGTATCAACGCTCTCTACAAAGTACTTGTTGTTCTTGAGCACGAGCTTTACCTTGCCGTAGCTCTGGGTACAACTGCTAATGAAGTTGAGAATCCTGGGAGGCAGCGGTGTCTTCAGGAAGCGATCGAGCGTGTTTATGATATCTTGCGGCCTGAGACCAATCGACACAGCGGCATACAAGCTGTGCGTTGTGATGCGGTACTCGTGAAGCAGAGATGGACGCGACTTTGGCTCGGCAATGGTGATCAGAAAGTCTGTGGCCTGCTCTGACAGCGGGCTGAAGCGCTCTAGCACAATGGTCCCGTCCGGCTCGATCCAGAGCGGGCGGTTCTGGTGATCGGGCTTGAGCTGGTAGTGAGAGTAGTCTCTCTTCTTGAAGTACTGAGAGGCGGCATCGTAGGTTCTTTGACCCGCCTCCTCACCGCCGTCCACATTCTTGGAGGTGAGGGCCCACTTGTTCACGAACTGGTCCGCCTCCTTCGCGAGCATGTCCTCGCGCTGCTTCTGAGCCTCATCGACATCCTCGTCGTTCAAAAAGTCCTCATCCTCCTCGGACATCATGGAGCTATCAAGACTGCGCGGGGTGCCAGGACCGGGCGTTGAGAGCGCCGAGGTGCGACCAGCTTTCGCCGCCGCACCCTGAGTGCCAGGCGCCTTTCTTTTCGGCGGCATCTTGTCCCAATGTATCTTATCGGTACGGGCGCGGCGAGGTTGCCGCAAACAAACGCCGGGCGATGGGATGGCAGCGACTCTTTTGTCAGTGGCAATTGGGTGGTGAGAAAGAGAAGTTAAAAGTTCAATGGCAAGAGTTGAAACGGCGCTCTGACATAGTGGCTGCGGGTTGGTTGCCTGTTGGTTGACTAATCCAAGGGTGTGCCTTGCGAAGCCCCACAGTGCAGTTCTTCCCACAGCCCTTCCACGTGCACGGTGCGCTCCCGAGTCCCGACCACCGGTACCTGTTCACCCACTTCCCGGGTACCTCTTCACTGGTCTCTACAAAGTAGAATATTCACTACAAATCTTACTTAAGCCCCAAACCACCAACCGACCAACAACATCCCTCTTACACACCAACAGCCCCCTTCTAGAAGCTCCGTCTGTTGGTTCCAAACCTAGATCTTCTCATGCACAGTTCCTAGAGTGCATCTGTCTCTTGCCCTGTAGAAGCCCCACGTAATAAAGGTACATGTCCCCACACTTCTTACAAATAATGCCAAGCTTTTATCACCGGCCCCACTCCACCGCTTCTGCCACGCCCCCCCCCCCACCCACCCACTACCTACTACAACCTTCTACACCATGATGATGAGGGCTCCTCCAAAGCCGATACCTAATTTAACAAACCACGGGATAGCCAAGCCGTATCTCCGATCCTTGCCCACCCTCCGAATCTCACAAACCAACTGCCTCACGATAATCACCAACGAAAGCTTAACCACCACCGCAAGGACTACCCCCCTTTGACAACATGTGGTACGTACACCTCATTTCCCCAAACTACACCATCACACCTTATCCCAACCAGTCCATCACAACATAGGTCTCGCTCGCTGACGCTCGCCTCCCAGTAAACACATCCTAAACGCCCAAGTCTCGATCCGCTCCCCCTGCTGCAGGAAATGGTTCGACTGCGTAGACTGCCACACCGAATCCCAAACCCACCCCCTCCTCCAGTCCTTCGAGATGGTCTTCGCCTGCAAAAAGTGCAAAAAGTGCTTCCGCAAGGACGTCAAAGAGTTTGAGGAGGCGGACGAGTACTGCCCCCACTGCGACAATCACTTCGTCCTCGACGCCCTCACCCCCAAGGCCGCCATCACCGTCGAGGCCGACGACGTCCGGGTCGACGCCAGGATGCTCAAGGATGACAGGGTAGCCGCCAAGAAAGAAAGGCCGACCGTGTTTGATCCCGATGCCGATGTTGACAAGTTGGGTTAAGGAGGAGGAAGACCAAGAAAGCATATATATAAAACAAAGCGAGCGTTTACTACTTACTGGATTTACGATACCCATGGAAGAAGAATAAAAACATACATCTGGGAGACGACAGCATGGAGTCTTGCCATCTTTGATATGAATTCATCGTGTGAACTGCAAGTGGGTGGTATTATCATACATTTGAATTCCTCAACCAACCAGCGCTCGCTTCTGCTCTAAAAGCCAGGCGCCATCCCATCTATCTCTGCTCCTTGACCAACACCCTACTGCTCAGACTCATCCTTTTGCCGAGTCAATATGGCAGCACTGCCCTGCCCTGGAGTCCGGCCCTTCTTCTTCTTGTCCGCCTCTTCTTGCTTCTCCTGTTCGATATTTTTGACGTAATTCTCAATATCCTCCACCGGCAGCAACTCCAACGTCTTACCAGGCGCCATGATGGCAATCTCGATATTCTTGGCGCCAGTTTGCACCACCTCCAACAAAGACTTGATGGCGAGTCTAACAGTGGCTTCCCGGTCCATATCCTCCTTGTAGTTGCGCTCGAGGAACTCGCGGACTGTCTTGCTGGAACGGCCGATGGCATTCGCTTTCCTTGAATGGGTATCAGCATCCTTCTACCCCAAAATCCCAGAACCAAAAAACCTTACCAAGCAGAATAGATCCCCGACGGCTCCGTCTGATACAACCTCGGTACCTCACTCCCCTTATCAAACCCCACAATCAACGTGGAGATGCCAAAAGGTCTCACGCCACCGCTCTGTGTGTACCGCTGCTGCACTCCGGCAACGTACTTGGTGATGTACTCGATCGTGACGGGGTCCTCGAGGTTGAGCCTGTGGGACTGGGCCTCTAACCGGGCCTTGTCGACGAGGATGCGGGCGTCGGCGTTGAGGCCGGCAAAGGCGAGGCAGACGTGCGTGTCGACGAGGCCGATCTTGGAGGGGGTGATGCGGGTGTCTTGGAGCTTCATGGCCGAGCGCTTCTCGCAGCCGAGGACGACGACATCTTGGCCTTTGACGCCTACGGCGCAGGTTCCTCGCTTGACGGCCTCGCCGGCGTATTCGACTTGGAAGACGTGGCCGTCGGGACTGGGGAGGAGGGGGTTAGTTTGGGTTTGAGGAGAGAGGGTGGTGGTGGTGGGAAAGGTACCTGAAGACTGTACGTGGTAAGGGTTGTTAGTGATGGCTGCAAGCAAGGATGTGGGGAATTGGTGGTGGTGTTGGGGTTGGATGGGAGGTAACACGTACCTGAGAGCGCTCTATCGTAGCCCGATGCCATGCTTGTAGATTTCTGGGGGTTTGGATGTTAAGTCTGGAGGTTCGAGTACTGGTTCGGGGGTTTAGATGGCAATTCGGGCAGTGGGGTTGGGCAGTGGAATTCGAGGTCGTGGTGGTTGATGTTGGCTTTGGTTTGGAAGGGCAGGCTACCACAGCTGTGACGACGAGCTTGAGGCTGACAGCTCCCCCCAGCCCAGCTCCAAGAGGGGAAGCACAGACCATTCTGCCAAGCCATATCTCTCAGTGTTCTCGCGGGGCAGCTGCTGCCGCTGCTGAAAGTTAGTTGCAGCTGGCAGCGGGGTTTAGGCGGGCCGGCTGTTTTAACAGTGTGTGAACCGATGTCGCTGCTCTCATTGAAATCTCAAAGTTGAAGTCATACTCTCTGTTATATATCGGCCCCCAACCCACGGTCTTGGACGAGACAGGCGCTCAGTTTATAATCAGTTCCTCTGCCGGGCGCACCATATAGATCCAGCTTTCCCCCCGAATATCTGTTCAGCTGGGAAAAAAAGTTGGATATCTACCTAACAAGCTCACAATGGCCGCCCGTTGCCAGTTACCGCCCGTCTTGAGAAGGCTCGCCAGATCCACCACAGAAGTGAGCAGACAACCACTCCTGAGGCAGTCCCTCTCCCGCCATACCGTCAGACACATCAGCACATCGAGGCCAAGACTTTTCCAACCGACAGCCGTGTCCCAAAAGGGCGAGCTCACCAGCGAAAAGTACCCCGACATCCAACGAGACTCGAGATTCGCCCAAGTCACCCCAGAACATGTCAAGTTCTTCAAGGACGTACTGGGAAGTGAGTCTGCCGTGGTTGACGGTGTGACAAGCGACGCTGCCGACGACATCGCCCCCTTCAACAGTGATTGGATGAACAAATATCGCGGCCACTGCAGGTTGGTGCTCAAGCCGGGTACCACGGAAGAGGTCAGCAAGATCCTCAAGTACTGCAATGACAACATGTTGGCCGTGGTACCTCAGGGTGGCAATACCGGTCTGGTTGGCGGTTCTGTTCCGGTCTTTGACGAGATTGTCATCAACATGAGCCGCATGAACAAGATTATCGAGTTCGACGAGGTCAGCGGCATCTTGGTGGCAGAGGCGGGAACCATTCTGGAAGTGGCGGATCAGTTTCTGGCGAGCAAGGGTTATATCTTCCCCTTGGATCTCGGGGCCAAGGGCTCATGCCACATCGGAGGAAACTTGGCTACCAACGCCGGAGGCTTGCGTCTTCTCCGCTACGGGAGCTTGCACGGCACCACCCTGGGCATTGAGGCCGTTCTGGCCGACGGCACCATTGTGGACGACCTCTGCAAGCTTCGCAAGAACAACACTGGCTACGATCTGAAGCAGCTGTTCATCGGGGCTGAGGGCACCATCGGTATCATCACCAAGGTCTCGATCCAATGTCCCCAGCGGTCGGCGGCCCAGAACGTGGCCTTGTTCGGCATTGAGTCCTACGAGCTGGCCCAACAGGCTTTCCGTGAAGCCAAGGGTCAGCTGGGCGAGATTCTTTCAGCTTTCGAGCTGATGGACGAGGGCAGTCAGCAGCTGGTACGAGATGTCACAGGCAACAAGAGCCCATTGGAGGAAAAGTATCCCTTCTACTGCTTGATCGAGACCAGCGGTTCCAACGCCGAGCACGACGCAGAGAAGCTTCAGTCATTCCTGGAGGACGTCATGGAAAAGGGCATTGTGGCTGATGGAACGCTTGCCGAGAACGAGACACAGATCAGGTCGTTGTGGACATGGCGTGAGGGTATCACCGAGGCGCTGGGCCATCTCGGCGGCGTGTACAAGTACGACGTTTCGATTCCCCTGAAAGAACTCTATCAGATGGTCGAGGACGTCAAGGCCCGGATCGACGCCGCGGGTCTGCTTGGCGACACGGACGAGTTCCCTGTCAGAGCGGTCGTCGGGTACGGCCACATGGGCGATGCCAATCTGCACCTCAATGTGTCCACGCGGCGGTTCGACGAGCGGGTGGAAAAAGTGCTGGAGCCATATGTCTATGAGTGGATTGCGGAAAGGCAGGGCAGCATCAGCGCCGAGCATGGGCTTGGCCTCATGAAGAAGAAGTACATCGGCTACAGCCGCAACCCGACCATGGTTGGCCTGATGAAGAACATCAAGAACACGTTTGACCCGGTAGGTTCTTTTCTCTCTTTCCCCAGACTTTGTGGCAGCCAAGGCTGACCTAGGCGATAGAACGGTATCCTCAACCCATACAAGTACCTGTGAGAAGGTATTTCTTGCACACGCCAATATCCGAGACGCAACACTACCAACAGCATGACAACGGCTGTGCTAATTGGTAAGCTGCCACGACGCTGATGATACCTCCTACCGTTCTTGTACATAAGTTTCGACAGCGGCTGGCCCCAAATTTCAGGCGACGCGGCAAAGTCGACGGTCGTCTCTAATATGACGGAGTTGAAACCCGAATTCCGGAACTGTTCCGTGTGGATGATGCAAGGTTCAAAAGATGCTTAAACTGAGTCAGCCTGTGCACACCATCTGTGGATATCTCGACATCACACGCCGAAGGCTACCTACCTACCTACAACTGCAGCGTGCTCCCTCACGGCTCCCTTCAAGGCAGTCGGCGAGTTTCTCTCCAGATGCCCAGTGCCCCATGATATGCGATGCCTTCATCGGGGAGCAGTTGGCGCTTCTCGTTGGTTTCATTGGTTCGGTTGCGATAATTGGATTGGATCATGTATGGCCTCCTATGGAGCTCCCGCCTGCGCCGCATGCCAAACTTGGTAGTTGGCCAATAGCCAATTCGTCCAATGGAACTGTCGCTGGCTTACCCCTTACCGTCCCCCCTCGTCAGCCACCTCAGCCTGCGTCCCGAACATGCTTGCACGCCTTCTTCACCTAACCATCCCATCATGCCCCATGCTGCAACGCCCGTGTGCTCAGCCCTATGCCCTATGACTTCTCGTTCTCGTTCAAGCCTCGGCCGAGTATACTTGTCTCTTAGTGGAGTACGGCTAGAACTGGCCGAGTGCCCTCCCTCCCGCTCGTTTGGGAGACCACACATGACGGCCGGTCAGTTCCAATCTTATTGTTTCTTTGAGTCCGACTCCGCTCTCAAAGCAAGTGAGTTCTTACTGCGTGGGTCCGCATACCGCGACTGCGACTCAACGCCAACGGGGCGTGCTCGTGTTCTCACCAGATGACCCCATGCAGCTAGCATCAACGTTCTTTTTTCCACCAGGCCTTCTATGACGTGCCTTGCCTCTCAAGCTAGGAGGGGGTGGGGGGTGTTGGAAAAAGCGAAGAGAGGGATGAGGGTGTTGATCTCAGCCTACCACCATGTGGTCGTGGTGAGTGCCAAGGTAGACGCCGTTTGGTTAGGAACTCTCCAAGATCCAACAAGAAAATAAAAGTTACTAAACAACCGCGCTTTCCCAACTTGAAGATATCTTTCACGAGTTACCTGCAGGTCATGTACGGTAGCCCAGTCGCAGGTCTTTGATGTTCTAGTACCTAGTTGACCCCCCCCCCCCTCTCCCTTCCCAACGGCAGTGCCGATCCAAGTCACCACCCAACGATATGAGCCGGACGGCGTCGGGTACTAGAAGAGTGACCTGTTGGATCGAAGAGTGTACCCATCACCCATCATCCTGTTTATTCTGGAGCCAACAAGAAGATTGCGAAGAAAGGTGTATTGCGTGGCTTGTTTTCTGAACCCCCCCCCTTGATGGATGAGTTACCTGAAGGCAAACCATAGGGTGAAGAATAAGTACAAATGGGCCGCGGAACACACCACCATGAGTATCTGTCTTGTCTGATTTTGTCGTTATTGCCGTTTCAGTCTGCCGAGTCGTCGCTGCATATATACCTACTAAGCCGATAGTCATCAATATGGGTGAGTTTTCTTACTTCTCCTTGTGGCAAGACGTCACCGGCCCTAGCACGGGCTGTTGGGTAGTTACGGTACTGTCCTTGTCCACACAGGGAGATATCTTGCTGACTATCCCCGGTACAGTCGGAGTTCCAGGAAAGTACAAAGGCTGCAACAGTAAGTCTGGCGTCCAAGCTGTCGGGTTTAAGTGGGAGGAGTCATAGCTGACGATGATATCTAGCTTGCCGAGTTCGTCGAGTCAAGGTAATTTCTTCCATATAGCCAACCTCGAGGATGACCATCATCTTCTGGAAGAGTCTCAGAAACTAACCCAGCATCCCCAGTGTGACAACGAGCGCCCTTTTTGCAGAAAATGCCTCGACAGCGGCCGAGAATGCGCCGGCTACGAGCGCGAGACGGTATTCATCATCGGCACTATCGAAGACCAAGGGCGGTGTTCCTCGCACCCTCCCCGAGTGGTCAAATCCAAAAAGAGCAGCGGAAAGCAGTTGTCATCCAAACGAAGCGACGACACCGGCAGCTTCCAGCTCGTAGCCAACACGCCCCTTCGGCCGGCATGGGATGACTTGATTTCAGTCTCTTGCGGAGGACAAACCTTTCAAGTCCAGATCGCGGCCCTTTTCACACCACTAAGCTCAGTGATCAGAGCCTACGCCACCGATGAAGACGAGGGTGAACAAAACCGGACAATCTTTGTGTCGTTTCCTACTTACCAATCCCCTGATCTGACGCCCTACCCCGGGGAGGACGATTTCCAGCTGTTCTCGCAGTGTATGGTCCACCTCGCACCGCCGAGCGAATCCCGAGGAGGTCAAGGAACGCAGACGGATAGTATATTCATGTTTCTCTACGAGGTATCTGCCCCTTTTTCTCCCCTCCCCTCCCCTCTCCTCTCCCATTCTAACCCGTGATGTGACGTCTAGCACAACAACTCCATCACATACAACCCCACCCTCCCACCATGGAAAGACCCCTCCCTCCAAACCTCCACCGTCCGCCGCCTCGGCCCCTCCGGGTTTCGTCAGTTTCCAAACCACCACTTCTTCGCTCGCATCTACCGCCCAGCAGCAATCTGGACGGCCCTCCTCTCCTCCACCCCAACCTTTTTGTCAAGTCCAGAATGGCAAACCACACCCTACGAATCCCACCCCCCATCCCCGCTCGACAATCTCTTGTCCCTCCTATCCCTCCTCCCGGCCTTGTTCGCCAGATTCAACAGCATCGCCTCCCCTGACACACCCCCCACCCTCTCCCGCCGGTTACTTGCCCAAGACCTCTTGTCAAACATGATGGATATTGAACTCCGACTTTCAGCATGGTTCACCTCCCTCCCCCGGTCAGCATTCTGGATAGCGGACCCAGCCACCCTGCCATACCAACCGGAGATTCCGTTTATGGAAACGTTTGCGTTTAGGGATACACAGACTGGGCTTGGGTTGTTGTTTTACTGGTCGGGGTTGGTGCTGCTTTGGCCGAAGATGTGGAGGCTGTATTGGGTTTTGTTTGAGGCGGTAATCGACGGCCCAATAGGGGTGGAAGTTACTTTATCCGGGAAGCTAGCGGGCGTTGACCCGATGAGGTGGGGGTGGAAGGAGACGAGGGGGGTGGCAGAGAGTGTCTGTCGGGGGGGATATTGGGTTTTGCAGGGGGCTGCGCAGCCGGATTTGGTGGGGTGGGTTGTTGAGGTTCTGGACTGGTTTTATGGTGAGCTGCCGGGGATGATGACGGGGTGGGATGAGGGGGTTATGGTTGGCGGGGACGGGAGGTTGGAGATGGGGTGGGTGAGGGGGTTGAGGGAGAGGGTGCAAGGAAGGGGGAGGGATATTGGGGAGGTTGTTGGGGGGAGGGGGTGGGTTGATTATGTGAGTTTTTGAGGGGGAAATGGGATTTGTATAGAGATGGATAAAGGGAGAGAGAGAGAGAGAGAAAAAAAAAATACAGCGGGACTGTGTTGGGCTGTACTAGAGAAGGTATTCCTTTACTGGACGAGTGGGGGTTCTGTTCTTCTTTTCTTTGGTATATATACTAATATCCGGTTTGGGCTTTTGAACGCTTCTCACGGCTTTTGTTGTTTTACGTTGCATTCTTTTTCTTTGCCTTTTCGGTTTATTTTCTTCCAAAGACTTTGGGTTTGGTTGGGTGGTAAATAGATTTTAGATGATGTATGGCATACATCAACATTTGAGACGGCTTAAGATATATTATATTGAGATTCAAGTGTTTAGATCAAGGTACTATCTCTCTACTTTCTCACAGGTGATTTATCATGAAAACTTTAGCTACTTGTCATGGAATCGTCTCACTCGCCTTACCCTTTCATCACAGTTGACATCAGCAGCATGTCCAAGATCACTCTCAGGCAAACTCTCAAGCGGATCCGACCTGCAAATGTCTCAATAATGATACTGCAGATCCTACTCTTCTCAAAATCAAACTCTCCTGGCAGAGCCACCTCCAAAAAGACCGATGTCAAGTTTAAATCCAGGGTATCTCCCTACCTGGTTACAAACTGCTACTTTGCCTACAGTCCCCTGCGCCAAGAGAGAGTGTACAAGTGCCAGCTGAACCTTCGCCCCAATCACACATAACCTACGCAACCGCAACTCTTTACTCCAGAACAAGGAGTGTTCCGAATCTCGTTCAGCTCGTACTTGCTGTTCGGTCTTCAGCAAGTCAAAACATGGAAATTCACAGTAAAACAAGTCCGAGGGAGGCCGCTCATCGCTCTCTCCCGAGGGAGCAGGAAAAGAGATGTGGTCAATATAGACTCGAGCCTCACCCGCAAACAACCAATGATGATCAAGACACACGTTCCTTCCCGCTTTTAACTCCCCCTTTATTGTTTGGTCAGAAGCTGTTTCTTTCGTCCGTTCGGACACCGACCAAGCCACATACTACACCCCAGTGGTTGAACTTCATCGACACACACACACAAGATGATGTATCATGATTGCCAAACCCCAGAACTGGCACTCAGAAACTCAAGGCATAGCTGAGCTTTAGAAGGTGTGCTTTCATGTGATGATAATGTACGATGGTTTCCTACCATATGCAACCACCCAGCTCCAGCCTACGCACTCGGCCAAATGCATCTACTCATGCTCCCACAGTCTCAAAGCCATCAATACCCAGCCGGCTCCGGCACCTTCGGCAAAGAAACCGTCTCCCCTCTGCCCATCCGACATTCCTGCTTCCAGTTCTTGGGCGTGAACTTATCCACAATCTCCTTAAAGGCAGCCTACATCCCAGTCAGCAAACTCACCCATCCCAAACACATCAAGTCTCACTCACCAGAGTACAAAACGACTCATCCCCCTCCAAATGCCTCCCCTCCATCCTACACCCGGGCACAGTAACCACCTCATCATTATATCTCAACCTAACATAATACCCCTCCAACTTCTTCTTCTCCTCTTCCCCCAACTCCTCCGCCGGCCGTCTCCCAATCTCTTTCCCCTTTCCAAACAAACCCCCAAACCACCCCCCCCTTTCCCTTCCCCCTTTCATATTATCCGTAAACAACTCAACAGCAACATGACTAGTAAACGGCACCCACCTCTCCGTCCCAAAAGCCCCCAAACTCGCCAGCATCCCCGCAAGCGTAGTATCATGACACCCAAGCAACCCAAACCTCACCCCATCACCCCTCCCCTCCACACTCTTGACCATCCGCTCAACCAAATCCCCGACCAAACCCCCAATCCCCAACCTCCTATACTCTTCCGACTCTCTGTAACCCTGAAACCACTCCTCCACCCCAATCTTTTCGATTATCCCCCTCGCCTTTTCATCATAAAACTCCTTCGGTAGTCTTGTCTCGGGTCCATGCGCCAAAGTAGCATTAATCGTATCCATCACACCAGAAAGTCTCGGCCTGCTGTCAACCGCCACCTTCCCCCCGTCCATCCACTTGCCTATCAGCTGGTTGAGGTATTCCATGTCAGGCGTGTTGTTATGTCTATCCGCCGCCCTCTGCGCAAAAGCCCGTGACAAAGCCGCAAAGCGCCTGCAGTTGCCATCGTTGGGGTAAAGCGTTTCATCCGCATGTGCCCGCGTGATGATCACCGGTGTAGGGAAGATGCCCGTTTCAGGGGAGTGAAGGCGCGTGTTAGGGGGGTAGAGGGTAGAAAATGTCTGTTGGAGGGATTCCAACGCGCGAGGGACGGGGGTGGTGCGGAGGTAGATTTGGGAGGGGGAGGTTATTGCCGGGGTATTTATGCCTAAGCGGTTGATGTAGAGGTCTCGGAGGCTGGCTCCGAGGGAGGAGTTTGTTTGCCGACATAGTTCTGTAAGGGTTCCAATTTTGAAGATGTTGTGTGGGTGGGAGGTGGGGGAGAGGGCGAGGGTGGGCGAGTCGGATTCCCGCGAAAAGGTCTCGAGGCGGCGGGTCCATTGGAGGGTTGTGAGAGAGGAAGAAGAGGGGGAGAGGATGGTGGAGGTTATTTGGCGGACTGAGGTGCAGTAGGGCCAGAAGGGGGGGAGGCCGGTGTTTTGGAAGCGGGGAGAGACGGGGGTGCGTTCGCCCTGGGGGATTGGGGGGGGGTGGTTAGACGTATGTTGGGTTCGTGGTATAGGACGGTGAAGGAATGACTTACATGGCGCATGAGGATCTGGACGAGCTGCAGGTCCAGGTTGGGGGGGTAGAGCTTCTGCAGCTCGGCATCGGTATACGGCGGCCGGGGTTGGAGGGTGGTCATCTTGATATTTGTTGATATGATAAGATGAATATCACCAAGATATCAGGTCAAAGGTTACAATGACGTATCGGGAGACCAAGTTGCCCCTTTGGGGGTACCCTCGGGTGCCAAGCATGTCAATGGATGCTGCCTGTTGTCGAAATGTGGGGGATGTGGGGCATTTTTGTTCCTGGTCCCCCCCCAATTGGCTTTGGCCGTTTTGCTTTTGTCCCCAAAATTTGAAAGCTAGAGCTTCTTTTTATATGTAAACCTCGATACAACTCGCAATCGCAGGCGACAAAAGGTCGGCGCATTCAAAACGGAACATGCGCGATCTTGGGAGGAACGTCTGTCTACGATGCGAAGTCCAGCTGCTGGCCGCCGTCAGAGGGCGGGGTCCTCGTCCTTCAACACCACGAAGTTATAGCTCCAACTCCAGCCCCAGACCGAGACCTGCTCGAACAGCTACGAACAGCACCCGGCAGCAGCATGAAGAACCCGAACCACCGTCCGATCTACTCGAGGCTGCCTCGAGAAAACGTGCCGCTGCCGTGGCCATGTTTAGGTCCATTCTTGGGGATATAGCGCAACCAGATGGTCCAGTCCGACCACCACCTACTCCCGCACCACCAGCTCCTTCTGTGCCGTCGATCAAGCCGAGTGGACCAAGTCCTCGCAGTGTCAAACTCTCTTCGCCCTCGGTGCCCCAAGCAGCCCGGCCTGCGCCGGTCTCGGCTCCAGCTGAGGCACCAGAGAGGATAGAGCTAGCGCCGATGCCAGAGAGCAAGGAGACGATAGTGGGACAAGCCGTCATGGAAACGACAGAGGCGCCCGAGAAAATCGAGACACCAGAAGCACAAGAGACACCCGAGGTTTTAGAAGCAGCAGAGGAACCAGAGAACCCCCAGCCAGTATCGGAAACGCGCAACGCACGGGAAGAGACACGAGAAGAGAAGGAGGGCATCAACATCAGTCCCGTGGGCAGCAGCCTTGAATTTTTCGAAGATGTGGCCAAGTTGAAGCAGATGATGACTGTCGACCATGACTACGAGGCCGCCCTTGCCTTCTTCGAGGAGAAACTGCAGCCACTGATGGAGGCCAAGGCCGGCATACGCGAGCTCATGAAGGACGAAGTGGCTCGCGATTTTCTGAGCTATCTCACAAGAGTCAAGATCGCCAACCCGGACGATCCCAGGCTTCCCTCTGTCTCGCGTATCACCGAAGTCACGTTTGGGCTGTCCAATTTGTACTATGTCGCCTGGGGCAAACTGATTCTCACGTTGGTCCAGCACATCACCCGGCAGGAGACAACACCAGATGCCTTTCCGACGTTGCAAGACTATGAGGCCGCCATGGCCAACCGTGCAATCCTCATAAGAGACCTGCTGCAGTCGTGGGACGTTTTCATCGAGCACAACCCCGAGTTCCTGAAAGAAGTGCCTCGACGAAACGCCGCTCCGACGCCTGATACGAAGAAGCTCCATGAAACAGTCCATGGCTTGGAGACGAGCTTGGCAGTGCCTTATACTCAGCTCTTTATTTCACTGTCCCCTGAAAAACTGCAGCTGAACACCTCTCGGTACAACATCAGCTGGGCAGCCTATGCGACGTATCGAATGCTCACCGACCGCATCAACACCAACTACCAGACGAGGGATCAAGCCTCGATGTTTACCAAGATGATGAAAAATGTCCTGACGCGGGCGAAACCGCCGAATGATCGGGATCTAGAGTATAACTTTGCCGAGTATCAGGATCTGCTCAGGTACATCCGCGACCTCGGCGAGGAAGACGGCAATCACATTTGGTACATGCGGGTGAGGACTCCGGAGGCGGAGCGGCGTCAACACCGGGAGGGGATCCACCGCAGGATTGGAACCGCTCTCAAGAGGGCCAACCTTCGAGAGGTGAAGGCGGCGTGGGTTGACTTTTGGGGACCGGACAAGAACCCGGACGAGGAGAGGATCAGAGTCATGAGTGAGGATCCGACTTTGTTTGACTATTTTATTCAGGCGTTTATGCAGCTCAGGCAGACGGAACTGACGAACCATGTCTGGGAGAGCATGCACAGGGTTAATGTCAAGCCTACGATCAGGACCTGGAGCGCGCTGATTGAGGGGTGTAGCAGGGCTCGGTCCAAGGGGGCGCTGGATAAGATGTGGGAGAATTTGATCACGGCTGGGGTGAAGCTGGATACGCATATCTGGACGTCTCGCGTGGCGGGGTTGTTCAAATCCGGGGATGCGGAAGGGGGGATCAGGGCGTTGGTGGATATGGAGAGGACGTGGGCGAGCAGGGAGAAGAATCCGCTTGTGGCGGTCAAGCCGTCTATCGAGCCTGTCAATGCCGCGATATCGGGCCTGCTCAAAGCGAACAGGCAAAAGGATGTCATGACTGTGCTTGCGTGGGCGGGGAAGCAGGGGATTAACCCTGATATCCATACATTCAACATCCTGCTTCGGCCGTTGGTTCTCAAGATGGATATCCCTGGTATTCGGAGGCTGCTGTCTCAGATGCAGGACGCCGGGATTGAGGCGGATGCCGCGACGTTTACGATTCTGTTCGAGGGCACGATGAGGAATTATGCTGACCGGCCGAAGGGCGAGCAGCTCGCGCATGTGAGGAAGTTTATCACGGAGATGGAGGCTAGTGGGATAAGGGCGAATATGATGATTTATGCCAAGATTATCAAGCTGTTGGTTGATCAGGGGGAGGAGGGGAAGGAGACGCTCAAGGCGGTGTATGGGCAGATTTTGCAGTCTGGGTTGGAGCCGACGCCGCATATCTACACCATGTTGGTGGAACACTTTTTCAATCAGAACCCGCCCAACTCGAAGGCGGTTGCGGATTTGATCAAGAACAGACGTCTTCACGGGCCAAAGGCGAATGTGGACAGGGTTTTTTGGGAGAGGGTCATCAGTGGGTTTTGTCAGGCTGGTGAGGTGGAGAAGGCGAAGGAGGTTTTCCGGAAGGAGTTTGAGGGGGAGAAGGAGGTGGGGATGACGTTTGGGATGCTGTGTGATTATTTGGTCGGGTTGCTGAACAGTGGGGATCGGGAGGGGGCGAGGAGGTTGGTGAGGAGGGCGAGGGAGGTGAGGGAGGATTTGGTTGTTGTTGATGGGGTGAAGGACGGGAAGGGGGGGATGAGGTTGGAGGCTGTCAGGCCTGGGGCGGGGATGGGGAGGGAGGAAGGCGAGTTGGTGATGACGGCTAGGTGGTGGAAGCATAGGTTTTGGCATATTGCTGAGAGGGCAGGGGTTATGAATTAGGCTTGGGGGGCCAGTTTAAGTACATAAAGTGTATATAGATGGGAGTGTAAGAATAGATGAGATATAAAAGGGTTCTTGCGGGTTAGACAATAAAATCAAGGTTGACATGATGATATAGAACTTGGGAAAAATAAATGCTCGTGCAGTGTTGTGGTCAAACAAGTGGGCTCTCTTTCTCTCTGTATGCAGCTGGAATAAGTTGATAAAAATGTTTTGTGATGTTCCTTAATTTCAGGTTTGGCAGGTTGTACAGCCTGGCTACCTAGAGGCTCAATGGCCAACAGCAACATATTGGTTCCTGTTGGTAACCTGGCACGCTATGGACAAAACAACAAGCCTACTAACATCTTTGGAGATCATGTGTGGTAAAGAGCTACTTGTGTAGGTCACTGGGCGGCCGTAAAGTAGCTCACCACGAGCCATTGGGCATATTCAAGGTTGACAAGATGTCAGTTGGCATCCCTACCCACTTTGGGCGTTTGTGGCAGGCAAGTTATCACGATGGCTGAGGTGTTTGATGTCTTGTCAGTGTGTGTTGTTGGTCTTTGAGTAGATGAGTTTTTCCAATCCAGTGGCCGTAAAGATTCCAGTTTGTACGGGAAATTCTTTCGGCTCTTGAGAGATTCAGGCACCTGACAGTGTTGACCGTTGCTTATGTTGAGCCAGGTGAGTAATCAGGGGTGTTAGTTAGGTGTGCTTGACACCAAATGGGAGTTGTCCATCTGAACTTTGGACTTGGGAGAAATATGCAAGCTTCCCAAATTGCTGCCTGCCCAGCGGCCATCAAGAGCTGCCAAACTTGCTTCAAAACGCAGTCACGCCGTGGCAGATGCGATATCGCAAGAAAACCATTTGTTTGATATATATCCCACAGAGCTACTTCTGCTCCCATTTGCAAGTTGAAGCCCACCAACCCCACCCCCAACAGTCGTGACAACATATCACAAAAATGATCACGAGCCCTCAGTCCGGTCCCAAGTTATACGTACTACTTTCGGAGACAAGCAAGCCACTCTTAAAGTTGCCAACTGTGGTGACATGAAACAAACCCAGAGTGTGGTGGAGGTGGTGGAGGTGGTGGTGGTGGTATGTTCCGAGAGTTACACACTGAAGGATCTCTGGGGAGGAGACAAGTGGCGTATCAGAACCAGTACCGAAAAAGGAGCAGGCGGCAGTTGGGTGTGGCTCGGGTGTGTGTTGTGTCTGTTGTAGCGCCATCTCGGTGCCCTTTGTGCCGCCCTCAGTTGAGTCCCATCCCGTCATCTGGTCCTTCCGAACAAAGCTTGTCTTGTATACCCATCTCATGCGGGGTTGTTACTGAAGCAAGAAGGGAAACAAAATTGCGCATATAACTAAGTGTTGCATGTCAGCGGTGTGGTGTTTGTGAAGCTTCGGCGGTAGGGAATATGCCGTGTCGTATAACATCTGAGTAAGCTTGAGGTTGCAGTTCTAGACCGTGCTCCCCTCTGATCTTCATCCGATATCGTGGTTCTTAACAGTGACGACATTGTCGAGACAACAGTAATGGACGGGATCCGGTTGGTTGGCTTGGCAATGGAGACCCCTGTCGCAGGGTGCATATCGAAGACTGTGAAACACTGACACTCGCTGGTGGAATTTTTATTTATTTCTGATCCATGATGCAAACTTTCCGAGATGGTTTGAACAAGCGTGACGCTCACTCTTAGGGAGCACAGGACGCTAATGCTGTGCAATTGGCACTGCCCTCTGATTATTTTCCTTTGTCAGCGAGACCGCTTTCAGGACGTTTTCCCGATGCTGGATGTTGCCCGCCGGATGGAAAGCTTGGGAGATCTTGGCTGGGAGGCTGTGCAAAAATTCCATTGATCCGCAAGCGCTGCTCGGGAGGGAGCAAAGAGCGCGGGGAGGATCGAGACACAAGACGGGAGCAGGTAGACAACATGGAGATATAAAGATATCCGTACATACAGTGGTATTGCTGTTGACAGAATCAAGTGTTGCTCTTGGTGGTTGTCCTCACATTTTGTTCATCGCCCCCACGTGTCCCAGAGGTCCTTCTGCCAAAGCGCACAGGATCCACCATTGACCGGGGTGCGCGGTCTGGACCCACGCCTCAAATGCTCACCAACACTGGGACCAAGTGGCTTGGCAACTTGGCACCTTGGCAACCGTCCCTCGGATCTCTACTTCTTGAATCTTTTCCTTGGCACTTAAACTGTTGGTTTAAGTGGTCAGCCACCACGCCGCTACAGCGCTACAGCGAACAAAAAGGTCATCTACATCCATCGCTTGACGCTCTGCTCGCCTTATTTTAACTTGCTCCGAAGGGCCATTACCCTACCAAGAAACTGCTACCCCAGATAGGAGATTTTAATTCACTCTGCACCGTTTACAACCCTGCCAAGTCCTGTTCGCTCACCGCCGGGATTCCACCTATTCTGGGCAGCTACCTACTACCCAAGATATCTATCGCCTTCAGCCACCACCACTACCGCTTACCTTCGCGACCAGCTGCCCGCCCGCCTTGCTACTTCCCCCACCGTTCACCTCTTCCTCAAGGTCGTCATGTTGGTCAACCGCGCCTGTAAACGTGGTTAGTTCCTGCATCGCAGGAAGCCGCAGACTTCTCGAGGAGAGGCCAACTCGACTCTCGACTGTTCACAGCCCTTTTGTGATCTATCCAGACTTTGCGTTTTACCCTCTCATCTACCGAAAACACACCAAACCATCTGTTCTAGCCGCCACCTACTTGGCTTATCCTCTCAACCTACGTCTCAACCCGCATCATTCTAGACTCGCTGCTATCCTACTACCCTTGAGCCCTCCCAGGACACAACCACCTCCACCATGGAGCGGTTCAAGCAATGGATCGCCACCAAGCCTTTCACGGCCCAGCGCTGCAAGCAATTCATCTATACTAGACCCCGCTGGCTCTTCGAATGCATCTTTCCGCAGAACCAGGGCTTCCCCTTCATAAGATATCACTGTAGGTGGCCGTGTCTTTCCCCTGTAGCCCTCACGGTGCTGATTGTGATGGCAGACTATTTGATCATATCCCTCGCGCTGATCGGCGCCCTTATCACTTGGGGAGCTGGCAAACACAGTGGTGGTACTGCCGAGATTAGATTTATCGACGCCCTCTTCTTCACGGCCGGCGCCTCCACCCAGGCCGGCCTGAACACGGTCGACATCAACCTTTTGACCACCTTTCAGCAAGCCATTTTCTACCTGTGGCCCATGATGGCAAATCCCATCACGGTAAACTCGCTTGTTGTCCAACTCCGTCTCTACTGGTTCGAAAAGAAGTTCCAACACATAACCCAAAATGCCCGACTCGTCAGGGTCCCTCTCGCGAAATCGTTTACCAAGTCGCGGACTAAGGCGAAGCAGCAGGACGGCGACGTCGAAAAGGGTGTAAATGGCAGAAAGATTACCGTTATGTTAAACGGAAAAAAGTCACGCATCAACAACGACGGGACCCTGCTGGGCGATGCTAAGAATAAGGGCAGGCATGGTCTCGGCCTCACGGCGGCAAACCGGACTGCCACAGATGGGGGCTTGGACGGCCCATTGGATAAGGCAGATCGGCATACCGGCCCAGCCGTCACATCATCCATGACGGAACCCCGGAGGCCAGCTCTCAAGTTCGCCGACACGGTCACGAAAAGCGACGGTCTGGGCGAGGATTTCCTCAAACTCCCACGGATACGATCGGACGAGGAGCATATTGCCATAGTCGAACGACAGAAGAAGGGAGACGACGAGGTGCTGCGAATCCCGAATCCGAGAGACGTAGAACGCGGTCTGGGCCCCAAGCGTGTTGAGGCTGGAGACAATGAGGACGAATTGCTGTCACCTCATGCGGAAGCTTTCAATCTGGATGGAGAACCTCGAGCCCAAGCAGCTGACGGCCGCCATCCGGCCATCACTATTGAGGAGCCTGATCGTCGCAAGTTGCAGGAGACGGATTCAGATGAATTCATGGACGATGTTAGAGCCGCTGCCCACACGTTTGGCTTTTTGAAGCCGCATTTTCCTCGGCACAAAAAGAAGCAAGACGACGTGGAAAAGGAACCCGTCATTCCCGGCCCTTCCCAGAACAGGCGTCGCCAGTCGATGCAGACGCTGCGAACCGCCTTTTCCAACAACAAGGCCGAAGGCACGCCGTATCTGAGCTGGGAGCCCACCGTCGGCCGCAACTCTCTTTTCCCGGAGCTTACTGAAGAGCAGCGCGAAGAGCTGGGAGGAATTGAGTACAGGTCTTTGAAGACGCTTGCCCGGGTCCTGACGGTCTACTTCTGGGGCTATACGGCGCTGGGTGTGGTTGGGCTCTTGCCGTGGATTCTGCAGGCCACTCAGTACGGGCAAGTTGTCGAGGCGGCAGGCCAAAACAAAGTATGGTGGGCTTTCTTTACTTCGCAATCGGCTTTCATGGATCTGGGTTTTACTTTGACGCCAGACAGCATGAATTCATTCAGCACCGCGACATGGCCACTTCTGTGGATGAGCTTCCTGATCGTCATCGGCAACACTGGATTCCCCATCATGCTCCGCTTCATGATTTGGGTGCTCTCGCTCATTGTACCCAAGAATTCTGGCATGTATGAGGAGTTGCGGTTTTTGCTCGACCACCCTCGCCGCTGCTTCACACTTTTGTTCCCTTCCAAAGCCACCTGGTGGCTGCTGGGCTTCCTTGTCCTCCTAAACGGCCTCGACGTGATGTTTTTTATCGTCTTGGATGTAAGCTCATCTCTGTTTGGTTCCTAGGCGATGACCAGGCATGCTAACTCTCGACCAGCTTGGGCAAGAGGGCCCTGTAGCCTCGATGTCGGACGGCCAAAAAGTTCTTAATGGTATTTTCGAAGCCGCATCCACGAGGACCGCTGGTTTCTCCTGTGTGAATCTCTCACTTCTTCACCCCGCCGTCCAGGTTTCCTACATGATCATGATGTACATTTCGGTCTTTCCCATCGCCATATCGGTTCGTAGGACGAATGTGTATGAGGAGAATGCACTGGGAATCTACTCGCACGGCGAAGAAGAGGAACACTCCAAGGCAAACCACAACGACTGGTCGCACGTCGGCACTCACGCTCGCCGCCAGCTCTCGTTTGATTTGCCGTTTATTGCCTTGGGCCTCTTCATTTTGGCCATCTCGGAAGGGCCGCGTATCATGAACCCCGAGGACGCCGCCAATGGCTTCACCATGTTTAGCATGCTCTTCGAGTCCATCAGCGCTTACGGCACAGTCGGCATGAGCTTGGGGTACTCGACAATCAACGCATCACTTTCGGCCGAGTTTTCGGACGTTGGAAAGCTGGTTATTATCTGCTTGATGATACGCGGCCGACACCGTGGTCTCCCGTACGGTCTGGACAGGGCCATTCTTCTGCCCAGCGATGCACTCAATGCGAAGGACGCAATGGCTGCAGATACAGAAGGCAGATTGGCTAGGCAGATTTCTCGCATGTCTGTGGCGACACACCGCAGCGACACGACGCACAACCAGAGGGGCCTGGGACATGTCCTGGCTGCCATTTTGCATCCAGGTCCTCCCGTGCCGCCCGAGCCCCCGATGGAAGCTATTCATAGGAGATCGACCGACCCTGGCTCGGACGCGGAGCCGCAACCTATGCGGGTCACCTCGAGACGTACCGAGCCCGGTGTTGTGCGGAGATCGGTTAGTCACTTGTTTTCGCCCAGGCCTAGGACTGCTGGTGGGCATGAGGATGATTAGACTTGGGCTTGAGGGTTTTAAAAACATGGCGGTTTTTTGGGGGGGGTTTTTTGTGTTGATTTTTTTTTTACAGAGTTTGTTTCATTTTCGCTCGTTTCGAGAATTATACCCCCGGTTTACTCAACACGAGCATAGCATAGCAAATGGGTTTTATCCTAGACAGGGTGGGCGTTTATGTGTGTTTTTCTCATTTTCGTTGTTGATGGTAGTTGGTGTTTGATGAGGGTTCGTGGCGTTTATGTACAGGGAACAAACACGTTATGACAGTAACGTGATGCATGGTTGGCATGACATGGTGTTTACATTATTTATTTTTGGTATCAGGTTACTATCATGATTTAAGAAAGATGGTTGAGAGGGATTGTGGTAGGAAAGGGTTACAAGAAGAAGATTGTTGTTGATGGTGGGGAGGGAATATGTATATGCTGGGGGTGGTAAGGAAAAGGAGAGTATATATGGGATGTTAGGGTTATGGAAATATAGAAGGGTAATGTATGTAGAATCTAATATATGCCGCTGCTGGGAGGTAGTGGCGGGTGATATCTTACGGATAGTTGGTGTGTTATGTGCTTTGTATTTCTGTGACATGTTGAACCGATAACTGATTATTCGGTTCATTCGAGTTTAGTGAGGCTCGATATTGCGAGCTTAGGGCATCAAACAAAAACATCATTGGCAAACAGAGTCCTACTCGTTCGTACATGAGAGTACCACAAAGAAAACAAATCAACCGCCACGTTCACTGGTATCACAACATCCATCCATCACAGCCTACCATCCCAAACGCCTGCCCACAGATAAAACAAGAGAAATCAAGACTCGTCCATCCTATCCCCCTCCGCCTCCTTCCCCGTCCCCTTTTCTTCTGCTTCCCCTACCCCGAGCAACCCAACCACCCGTTCCAAATCCCCCACCTCCATCGTCTTCGGCCCCCCGACCACCATCTCAGCATTATCATCCCTCACCGCCCCGTCCCTCGTCAACTCCAACCCCCTCACATTTTCCAAATGCCTCCTCGCAGCAGCCTCGACATATTCCAGCCTCTCCCTCCTCCAATCCCTCGTTGTTGCTCCCCCATCCTCCGCCGCCGTCTCCTGTGCCAACCGCGGCAGCAGCCCCCCCAATCCCACACTCAACTCCCTCAAGCTCCCCAGCTGACTCCTCCCAAACCTCGCCGTCGTCTCCAATGGCCTCTCCCTGTCCACCCCCTCCAGTCCCCTCCGTCCCTCAGCCAGAAACCCAAAAACCGACTTCTCTTTCCCCCCCTCATTCCCCTCAGATTTAACCCCACCCTGTGTCCCAACCAACCGTCTCAACTCCCCCAGCAACCCCTCATTCCTCGCCCTCTCCGCCTCGAGCATAACACCCAATTTCATACTCTCCTGCAGTCTCCTCCTGATTTCGTTCACCCCCCTGACTCCCACCTCCTCCTCTCCGGTTTCAAAATCCAACCCCCTGTAGTGCGACAGCGTGGTGTATGGCTCGTCCTCAGGGTTAACAGTCAAAAGAAAGCGCATGGTGTAGATCTCGAATTTGTCAAAATTCTTGTCCAGCGCCGCGAACAGCAATGTCTCGAGTTTATGCACCCCCTCCTCGACTTCGTTCCGGTGGCTGTCGGCAGGGGAGGAAAACGCCGGGGGTCGGAACCCGAGCGCGGAGGGGGGCGCGTTCAAGAGCCGGATTCGATTGAAGTGAGGGCGCGGTCGGCTAGGGTGTTGGTTGTGTTGATTATCAGGTCTAGCAGGCTCTATGGACACGGTTAGATGCAGAGAAGGTATAGGGGCGGGAGGACAGGAAAAGAAAAGGGAAGGGATGGGGGGGAGGGGGGGGGGGTATGGTTAAAACATACCACGGGGGGATACCCAAAGTGCTCAGTCAAGAGCTCAGTGTCGGATCGGCTCGCCATGATGTGCGAAACTTTCTCTTTTGATCAGGACATAAACTTCTCCTCTGCAAAGTGACCGAAAACACGCGCAACGGCAAAAAAGCGAACAAAAAGTGTGAACGAACAAAAAGTGTGAACGAACAAAAAGTGTGAACGAACAAAAAGTGCCCCCCCTCCTCCCCCAAAATCAACCTTGACAAAAATGACGTTGAACAAAATCCGACGACGCGTCTCAGTCGCGTCTTACCTTCCAAAATCAGGGTTAGGGTTACCCTTCCCATCCCCCCATCAGACAAAACAACCCCCTTTCTCATACCGTGCACATTCCTCACATGCTACACATCACACATCATCACAAGAATACACACACACACACACATACACACACACACACAAAAGTAATTCATACCCTTCAATTCACTCCCTAACCTATCACCCCCTCACTCCCAACTCCAACCATGTCACCACCACCCTACCCTCCCCGTATGCCAAATCCAAAACTACCGCTGTTGCCAAATGCCTTGCTACCATGCCATCCATCTCTCCCTCCCAAAAATAGGGCATATATCATTTCCCCCCTTCACCCTCCCTCCCACCTGGACTTTTCATTTTTGGGATTGGAAAGTTAAGAGAAATGCCAAAAAAAACCAAAAAAGACACAATCAAAAAAGAGAAAAAGAATGGGCTTATTACAAGGAGCGAAGGGTTTTGCAAAAGGAGCAACAACAACACATGGGTAGATAAACAAGAAAAAACGAAAGTGAAACAAGAGCTATCACCCAATTAAAAAAAAAAGAGCAAGATTACAAACAAATACCCTCAAGTATAAAAAATAATAAAAACTTTGGATCCCGATTCCCACCCGCTTTTGTCCACATGCTCTCTTTCTCTCTCTCTCTCTCTCTCTCTCTCTCTCTCTCTCTCTCTCTCTCTCTGCCTCAGTCTTCCCTTAAATGACAACCTTCCTCCTCAACAGTCCATCCATTCATGTTTCCCTGAATGGCCAACCCGAAACCGGA